TTATGAATCAATTCAACTGTCGGGCTCGAAAATATTTCGACAAGTCAAGAGAAAGTTATGCGAGAACCACTCAAACCAATGTGACAATCTGTGATAGATATGTTCCGACTATTCGTGGGAATGTTATGATAGTGTCTCTCGCATCAATGCGACTGCCGTAATTGGAAGTACTCCGATTATTCGAGAAAAAGCTTTGCAAGTTTTTCCCGAACAAATCCTACTGTCGGGCTCGGATCTTTCCAACTAAATAAAGGAAAGTTGTGAGAGTGCCATTCCAATCAATGCCACTGACGGTTTTGGAATTATTCCGCCTAGTTAAGGGAATGATATGCGAGTGCCTCTTGAACCAATGCGAAAGTCGGACTTGGAAATATTCCGACAAGTCGAGAGAAAGTTGTGCGATTGTCTGTCGAGGAAATGCGACTGTCGGTGTTAGAAATGTTGCGATTAATCGAGGGGAATGTTATGCGAGTACCTCTCGCTGTAAAGTAACTGTCGGTATTGGATCTATTCAGTCTAGTCAAAAGAAATTTGTGCGAGTGCCTTACAAACTAATGCGACAATCAGTCTTAGAAATCTTTCTACTAGTCGAGCGAGAGTAGAACAAGTGTCTCTCGAGCTAGTGCGACTTTTGGAGTTGGAAATTTTCCGACTAATCGATTCAATGTTATGCGAGTGAATTTTGAGCTAATGCGTATTTCGTATATAGAAATATTCCGACTAATCAAGGGAATGTTATGCGAGTGCCTCTCAAATAAATGCGAATGTCGGTCTTGGAAATATTCCGACTAGTCGAGCAACAGGTACGCGAGTGATTCTTGAACTAATGCGACTGTCGGACTTGGAAATATTCCTACAATTCAAGGGAAAGTTGTGCGAGTCCCACTCGAAGTAATAGGACTGCTGATCTTGAAAATAACTCAATATTCGAGAGAAAGTTATGGGATTGATTGTCGAATCAAAGCGACTGTCGCACCTAGAAATTTTCGGAGAAGTCTTGTGAAAGATAGGCGAGTATCTCTCAAAACAAAGCGTCTTTCGGGCTTGGAATAATTCCGGCAAGTCAAGACAAAGATATGCGAGTGACTTGTGAAACTATGAGACCTTCGGACGTGGTAATTATCGACTAGTCGAGGGAGAGTTACGCGAGTGACTTGTGAAACTATGAAACTTTTGGACGTGGTGATTCCCGACTAGTCGAGGGAAAGCTACGCGAGTACCTCTCGATCCAATGCGACTGTCGCATTGGAAATTATTCTGACTAGACGAGAGAAAATGGTGCGTGTGCATCTCTAACCTATGCGACTGTCGGAATTTGAAATATTCTGATTAGCGGAGCCAAAGTTAGGCGAGTGTCACTCGAACCAATGTGACTTTCGGACTTGGAAAGATTCCAGTTAGTCGAGGGAAAGTTAGGTGAATGCCTCTCGTACCAATGCGACTGTGACATTCCGATTTGTCGAGGGAAACTTGTGCGAGTGCCTCTAGAACCAATGCGATTATCGAATTTGGAAATATTCCGACTAGTCGAGCGAATATTGCACAAGTGCGACACGTACCAATGCGATTGTCACACTTGAAAATAGTCCGACTTGTTGAGGAAAAGTTAGGTGAGTGACTCTCACACCAAAGCGACTTCTGCACTTGGAAATATTCCAACTAGTCGAGAGAAAGTTATACGAGTGCTTCGCTAACCAATGCGTCTTTCGGATCTAAAAAAATTATCTCTACTCAAGCGAAAGTTATGCGTGTGACTAGTGAACAACTCGACAGTTGGAATTATAAATACTCCGACTAGACGAGGAGAAGTCATGCGAGGACTTTTAGAACTAATGTAAACGTCCAACCCAGAAATATTCCGCCTAGTCGTGGGAAAGTTGTGAACGTGCCGCTCGACCCATTGCGACTGTCAGAACTAGAAATATACCGACTAGTCGAGGAAAATTTGTGCATGTGGCTTGTGTACCAATGTCATCCTCGGACTTAGAAATATTGATTGGTCGAGGAAGAGTTATGCTAGTGCCTCTCGATCCGACGCGACTGTAGGACTTAGAAATATTATCACTAATCGAGGAAAAGATGGACGAGTGTCTCACAAAACATTGCGGCTGTCTGACTTGGAAATATTCGGCCTAGTCTTGGGAAAGTTGTGCGAGTACCTCACAAACCAATGCGACATTCAAACTGGAACTGATTCCGACAAGTCGAAGCAAAGTTATGCCAGTGCCTCTTGTACTATTGCAACTTTCGTACCTAGAAATATTCCGACTAGTCAAGGAAATTTTAAGAGAGTTCCCTACCATCGAATTCGATTGTCGCTATAGGATATATTCTGACTAGTCAAGAGAGTGTTATACGAGTGAATTTCGAACCGATGCGACAGTTGGACTTAGAAAATTCGATCTAGTCGGAAAAATGCAATACGAGTCAATCTCGATCCAATGTGACTGTAACACTTAGAAAGATTCCGACTTAACGAGACAATGTTATGAGAATGCCACTCGAACCAATGCAACTTTCGGACTTGGAAATATTCTGGGTAGTCGAGGGATAGTTATACCAGTGCATCACCAATCGATGCAACTGTCTCACTTGGATATATTCAGACTCTCGAAAGAATGTCATACGGACGAATTTCGTTTCCTTGCGCCTGTCGGACCTTGAAATACACCGACTATTCGATGGAAAGTTATGCGAGATCCTATCCAACCAGCACGATTGTCGGACTTGGAAATATTTCGCCTAGTCGAGGGAAAGTTACGCGAGTAGCTTACAAACCAAAGCAACCGTCCGACATGCAAATATTCCGCCTAGTCGAGAGAAAGTTATGTGAATGTCTCTCGAACCAATGCGGCTGCCATACTTGGAAATATTCCGACTAGTCGGAGGAGAGTTTAGTGAGTACCTTTCAGAACAAAACGTCTGTCGGTCTACGTACGATTTCACCTAGTCGAAGGAATGTTATGCGAGTACTTCAGAACCAATACGTCTGTCGGGCTTGGAAAAATTCTGTATAGTCGAGGAAATCTTATGCGAGTGCCTCTCGGGCTAATGCGACTGTCGGACATGGAGATATCCCGCCTAGTTGAGGGATAGTTATTCGCGTGACTTGTAAGCCAATGCGCCTATCGAATTTGGAAGTATTCTGTCTAGTAGAGAGAAAGTTATGTGAGGGACTCTTAAATCAACGCGGCTGACGGACTTCGAAAAAATCTGACTAGTCGAGGGAAAGTTGTGTGCCTATAGATCCATTTCGTCTGTCGGACTTGGAAACATTCGGGAAAGTCAAGGGAAAGCTATGTGAGCGTCGCTTGAAGTAATACGAATGTCGGAATTCGAAATATTCCAACAAGACGTGGGAAAGTTATGCGATGTGGACCAAAGCGACCGTCGGGCTTGGAATTATTCCGACTAATCGAGGGAAAGATATGCTAGAGCCTCTCGAACAAATACGGTTTGCGGACTTGGAAATATTCTGACTTGTCGAGTGAAAATTATACGAGTGGCTCCCGACCATTTGCAACTGTCGGAATTGGAAATATTGCGACTAGTCGAGGTAAAGTTGTGCGAGTTCATATCGAAACAATTCAGCCATCGGACTTGGAAATATTCAGAATAGTCGAGGGAAAGTTATGCGAGTGACACTAGAACCATTGAGACTAACGAACATGAAAATATACCGCCTAGTCTAGGCAATGTTATGCGAGTAATTTGTGATCCAATGAGGCTGTCTGAATGTAAAATTTCTGACTAGTCGAGGAAAAGTTAGACGAGTGACTCTGTAACCAATGCGACGGTTGTACTTGGAAATGACAGACAAGTCATTGGAAATTTATGCGAGTGTCTCTTGAACCAATGCGGCTGTCGTGCTTGGAGATATTTCGACTATACGAGGGAAATTTATGCGAATGACTCTCGAACCAAACCGGTTGTCGGTCTTGGAAACATTCCGACTACTCTAGTGAAATGTATGCTAGTACCACTCGAACCAAAGCGACTGTAGGACTTGGAACTATTCCGACTAGACGAGTGAGAGTTATGCGATTGACTTGACAATCAATGCGACTGTCGGAATTGAAAGTATTCTAACCAGTCATTGTAAAATAAAAGGCGAGTGCCTTTAGAATCAATGGTGCTGTCGGACTTAGAAAAATTCGGACTAGTCGAGAGAAAGTTATGCGAGTATCACTCGAACCAATGCGGCTGTCTGACCTGAAAATATTCGAACTAGAAGAGGAAAAGTTATACGAGTGACTCTGGAAACAAAGCGGCTGTCGGACTTTGAAAAACCTTGACTAGTGGATTGAAAATTATGCGAGTGACTTGCGAACCAATGCGGCTGTCGAATTTGGAAATATTCAATCTAGTCGGGCAAATATTATGCGAGTGTCTCCCGATCCAATGTAGCTGTCGGAATAGGGTATATTCTGAATACTTGAGGGAAAGTTAGGAGAGAGCATAAGGAACCAATTCGACTGATGAACTTGTAATTCGTCCAACTAGTCGGGGGAATGTTATACTCGTGCCAATCAAACCAATTCGACTGTAGGATGTAGAAATATTCCGAACTGAAGAACGAAAATTATGTGAGTGCCTCTTGAACCAAGGCGACTGTCGGAATTGGAAATATACCAAAGAATCGAGACAAAGTTATGTGAATGACTTGCGAGCCAATGCGAATTTGGACCTTGGAAATATTCCAACTAGTCGATGGAAAGTGATGTGTGTGCCGTTGGTACCAATGCGACTGTTGGACCTAGAAATATTCCGACTATTCGTTGAAATGTTATACGAGTGCCTCTCGAAACATTGCGATGGTCGGAACTATTAACATTCCATCTATTCGAGGGTAAGTTAGGCGAGTGACATGTGAACAAATTCGACTACTGGTCTGGGAAGTATTAAGTTGGTGCGAAAGAAACGTCGGATTCTTAAGTGAATATATTTCTGCATATCTTTTTCCAAAAGCTGTTTATTTAATCAGAATATGCTCCATTTACTTAAATACACTTTTCCCAACGAGATTTTAATGCATAGATGCCTTTCTTGAAGAAATTCTGATCTTTAGAATCAATGAACTCTGATATGGCATTTTTCACACTGTCTTCATTTTCGTACTGTTTAGCACGCAAAAACAGTTCTAAATGTTTAAATAAATGAAAGTCGATTGGCGAAAGATCTGGTGAATAAGGTGGGTGCTGCAAAATTTCATATTTTAATTCATTTAATTTTGCAATAGTTTTGTACGATGTTTGCGACCGAGCGTTGTCGTGGAGAAGTATTGGGCCATGCCGATTAACAAGTGATGGGCGTATAATTTTCAATTTTTCATGCATTTCTTCAATGTACTGGCAATACTTTTCGGCTGTAATTGTCATTTCTGTTTGAAGGAATGAGTAGTGTATTATTCCAGTCACATTCCACCAAACTGTGATTAAAATTTTCCGTGGATGAAGTGATAGCTGTGGAATATGAGCACAAGCCTCATCCCTATCATGCCACCGAGCACACCTTTTCCTATTGTCGTAAAGAACCCATTTTTCATCACAAGTAATGATCCGATCGAAAAATGGATCTCGATTAAATCGGGTTAGCAAGGATAAGCATACGTTCAAGTGATCCAGCTTATTTCGCTCGGTTAGTTCGTTCGGTATCCACTTATCCATTTTTTTCACCATGCAAATTTCAGAAAGATTTCGCAATATTGTTTTATGGTCAACTTCCATTCTGGCAGCAAGTTCCCTTGAAGAAACAATTGGATTCGTTTCCACCAATGCTTTCAGAGCATCATTTTTCAGAGACGTTTCGGGTCTTCCACGCGGTTCATTTTGCAGGGAGAAATCACCAGACCGAAATTTTTCAAACCAACGCTGCACTTTTCGATCGTTCACAATATTCTCCCCAAACGTCTGGTTTATATTGCGTACAGCTTTTGCAGCATTATTACCAAGTTTATACTCATATAAGAAAATTTCATGAATATCGGTTGAATTCATATCGGTACAAAATTCAAAGCAAATAACAAAAGGGAACATTTTTGAAAAAATGTTCTAAAATGTGACTCTGGCAATGGACAGTACGACTATAAACCAGGTTATGTCAAAAACAGGGAATCAAGCGTTCACATTTAAAGAAAATCCGACATTTCATACGCACTAATTTAATATATTAAATAGTCGGAATAAATTTGTGCGGGCAACACTCGAACCAATGCGAATGTCGGATTTAACAATATTAATTTTAGACGAGGGAAAGTTATGCGAGCGCAACCAATGCGACTGTTGGACCTAGAAATATTCCAACTAGTACTGGAAATGTTATGAGAGTGCACATGAAACAAATGCGATTATCGTACTAATTAATATTTCGTCTAGTCGAAGAAAGATTATGTGAGAGAATTTCGAACCAATGAGACTGTCGGACATAGACACATTACTACTAGTCGAGGGAAAGTTATCCGGGTGCCATTCGAACCAATGCGAATAGTGGCACTCGGAAATATTCCGACTAGCGGAGGGAAATATATGCAAGTGCCACTCGAACCAATGCGACTGTTGGACGTAGAAATATTCCTATTCGTGGGAATGTTACATGAGTACCTGTCGAATCATTGCGAAGGTTCGACCTAAAAATATTACATCGAGGGAAAGTTATGAGAGCGACATGTGAACAAATTCGACTATGGGTCTTGGAAATATTTTAAATAAACGAAAAAAATTTGTGCGGGTATCATTCGAAACAATGCGACTGTCAAACTTGGAATTCTTCCGACTAATCGAGGGAAAATTATTCGCGTGTCAATCAAACCAATGCGACTGGACGTAGATGTACTCCGAATGGAAGAACAAAAATTATGTGTGGGCCTCTCGAACCAAGACTACTGTCGGACTTGGAAGTATACAGAATAGTCGTGGGAAGGCTATGCGAATGATTTGGGAAGCAATGCAACTTTGTCACTTGCAAATATTCCGACTAGTCGGGGGAAAAATACACGAGTGCCACTCGAACCATTGCAACTGTCGTACCTATAAATATTCCGACTAGCCCAGAAAAAGTTATACGAGTGACTTGTGAGCCTGTACGAATGATGTGCTTGGAAATATTACGAATAGTAGAGGGAAAGTTATGCGGGTTACTCTCCAACCAATGCGACCACCGATCTTGCAAACATAAGTGACTAGTCGAATGAAGGTTATGCGAATGCCTCCCAGACCAATACGACTGTCGGACTAGGTACTATTCCGCCTAGTCGAGGGAATTATATGCGAGTGATTCTCGAAATTATGCGGCTGTCGATCTTGAAAATATTCTGACTATTCTATGGAAACAAATTCGAGTTACTCTGGAACCAAAGTGGCTGTCCGACTTGGAAATAATCCGATTAGTCGAGGGAAGGTTATGCTAGTATCTTTCGAACCTCCCCGTGTGGGGAGGGGGTAGTAGAATACTCATACAGTACTCTATGCTTGTCGTAAGGGGCGACTAAGAAGGACTGTGTGAATGGTGTGTGAATGTGCTTGTACGGCTATTTCTTTCTTTGTTCTTCTGTCATATCTTTTCCTATTCTTTCTCTCTCTCTCTAGCTTCCTTCCGTTCCTTTCCCTAACTTTGAGGAGCCTGACTCCTACTTATACTGCTTTGTAATCATGGACAGTACAGCTAAATATATGAGCGGGCGTTAGAGGGACACCCACGCCACGGCGGTGTCAGGTGGTGGTAGAGCATGCCACCCGCCGTCGTCAACCAACAACTGCCAGGAGCTCGGGGTTGGCAACCTGGCCCAAACTCTTGATACTGCATCAGGAAGGGCACCACAGGTAGGCGACTTGGCCTGCGGTGTACCTAATGCGCCAGGAAGGTTAGCAAAGAAGAAAGCGACTTGAGGGAGTGGCAAAGGGCTGCCAGGGCCGTGGAGAGCATGCAGCGCTCCGGATTGAAGTCACCAATCTTGGAGAGAACGCTCAAACGTGCAAGGGCCCTTATCTACTCGTCAGAGGAAGAGGAGTTAAGGGTAGACATGGCCGGGTAGAACAAGGATGGACCGGCAGAGACCCCCTTCTCTCAGGTGGAGATTTGCAGGTTACTGGAACTCGCCACGAATCATATCCTAGTAGCCGATAAGGAGAGGAGAAAATCCACCAACATTAAGGGTTCTGTTTTGGGAAGGACGAAACGCTCCCATAATGATGTGCTAAAAATAATGAAAACCTTAATGGCCTGGATTCAAACTGGAGCAGGGGATCTTTCCTCAACCAAGAAGGTCATGACGTAGTTAAAGGCAAAAATCAGGGCCTTGGAACTGTGCAATTGCGAGTTGACGAATGAAGTTAACCGTCTTAAAGAAGGTAAGAGGATTGCATCGGTAAACCCCTTAGCTGAGAGGAGCCAAACAACGACTCCAGAAATGCAGCAGTTAATCGAGTCGGTGAGGATGATGACGGAGGTTGTTTGCATTATTCAGCAACAGCGGCTTCAATAGCAGCAGCAGCAGCGGCAGTAGACATCGAATAGAGCAGCAACTGGAGCTGGTGGGCCACACTAAGACCCCACATTCCGTGCTGAGACCACTCGACCCCCCGCGAAACAGGTAAGTGTGAGGGAGGCACTATTCCCGCAGGAGAATTTTGTGGAGGTTATATGCCGCAAAAGGAAACGAGTCCAGAGGAGGGAAGCGAACGCACCCTCACTGGCTTCATCAAAGACGGGAGAAAACGACCATCAACCATTGCGAGAGCAGGCCGTCCCCAGGAAGAGGGGGAAGAAAAGGATCGGCGCGCAAGGAAGAAAGAAGAGGAGTCAAAGGGAAAGGGAAGTCGCTGCAATTTTCCTATCCTGTGTCGAAGAGACGACGTACAGAGATGCACTCCTCCGGGTCAGGAAGAACATAAATATTAACACTTGGCATGTGGGTATAATTCGCCGTCAACTTACGCCCAGTGCGGGCGTTTTTTCGTGAATCGTGCGGAAGTTTGGTTATTCAGAATAACCGAAGTAAATCGAAAACTACTTCGATTTTATGAACCAAACTTTTTTTATTTTACACTGAAATATATACTATATGATTATTTAACGAAAAAACGATATTTTTACAAGATCACAAAAATAAACGATTTTTGAAATTTTACAATAATTCAAAAACAAAGCAAACAACTTAAACAACACGCATACATATAATTATACGCATTTGGTAGAATTGTGTTGGTTGGCTAGTATCCAGCACAAATAAACTAAACACGTATTTTTACGTGAACCGCGCTCCAGTGACAGACTGCAAAAAATGTAAGAATACATTTCCCGCATGCAAAGTGTTAAAGACCTAGGGATCGGCAACATGTCGTGCAGGAGGGGCCTCAAGGGTGCCTTTACATAACAGGTACGAGGCAAAGGGACAAATGAGAAGGCCGACCAAATGGCGAAGGCCTTGAGGAATGCCGTTCCGGTAGCAAGAGTTACTCGCCCTCCGGGCAAAAGTACCACGAGGATAGTAGGGCAGGATGCGGCGATAAAAACGACCGTCAATATTACCATTATTATCATTATCATGATTATTATCATTATTATCATTACTATCATTATTATCATTATTATGATTATTACCATTATTATCAATATTATGATTATTATCATTATTATGTTTATCATCATTATTATCATTACTATAATTATTAGCATTATCATCATTATCATCATTATCATCATTATTATAATTATTATAATTATTATCATTATTATCACCATTATTATCATCATCATTATTATCATTATTATCATTATTATCAATATTATCATTATTATGATTATTATCATTATTATCATTTTTATCAATATTATCATTATTATGATTATTATCATTATTATCATTATTATCGTTTTTATCATTATTATCATTATTACCATTATTATCATTATTATCATTATTACCATTATTATCACTATTATCATTATTATCATTAGTATAGTTATTATCATTATTATCATTATTATCATTATTATAATTATTATCATTATTATAATTATTATGATTATTATCAATATTGTCATTATAATCATTATTATCACTATTATCATTATTATCATTATTATCATAATAATCATTATTATCATTATTATCATTATTATGATTATTATCATTAATATCATTATTATCAATATTATCTTTATTATCTATATTATGATTATTATCTTTATTACTATTATTATCATTTTTGTCATCATTATGATTATTATCATTATTATCATTATTATCAATATTATCATTATTATCATTATTAACATTATTATGATTAATATAATTATTAGGATTATTATCATTATTATCATTATTATCATTAATATCATTATTATGATTTTTATACTTAATATGATTATTATCATTATTATCAATATAATAGTTATTATGCTTATTGTGATTATTATGATTATAATCATTATTATCATTATTATCATTATTATCATAATTATGATTATTATCATTATTATGTTTATTATCATTATTATCATTATTATGACTATTATCATTATTATCATAAATATCATTATTATCTTTATCATCATTATTATCATCATTATAATTATTACCATTTTCATCATTACCACCATTATCAGCATTACTATCTTTATTATCCTTATAATCATTATTATCATTATTATCATTATTATCACTATT